AAATCTGGACGCCTCAAGTCAGACAGGGGGAGATTTTCGATCTCTGGCTAGGCAGGACTGTGCCCATTATCAGCTCTGAAGAAACTACAGAAGACGGACCTTCACCCCTCAGCACCCCAAATGATTATGGGATCGAAAAATCCCTAAAGAATAAATAATTGAGGCAGGGTAGATAGCACAGGCTAGACATAAATAAATTTCCTATAGGTAGGTTTTAAAAGGTGTCAAATGCTTCTACTGCAGGCCGAGTGGCAACCTATCCCACCCCTTGGCAAATCCAAAGAAAACTCCATCAGATGTAGGACGAGGACAGTACAATCTTTCAATTTGTGATTTAGCATAATAATCACTAGAAACCCTTGGGAGACATAAGTAAACTAAACATAGGTATTTGGTATTGCATCGCTCAGGATACAAGTCCCTGAAATGGGATTCGTTAAAACTTTGAAACTGTTTAATGGCAGTCCTTTTTCCTACACCTCTGAAGGAAATAGAGCCATAAACATAAATGCTCATAAGGAAATGGGCTGTCCATTTGGGACAAATTTTAATCATAGTTTATAAGCTTACTTCCCTAGACACTTCCTGGACCATGAAAAACTCAAACCTCCCAGGGAAGTAAGTGCTGCTAAAAATTGAAGGAAGGAAGGACCTAACCAACAACTGTAAAAAAGAGAAAAGGACCCTAAGGGTGGTCCTGTTCCTATACTAGTATATAGAATTTAAATACCTAACTTCTCTATCATGATGAAACCCCTCTATGAAGCCTCAAGGGGGGGGGTGAACAAGAGCCCCTACTATGGGAAAAGGCCCAGAAACAGGCCTTTAGATGAATTAAACAGGCTTCTTGCCTTTTAAAATTCTTTATGGGTGGCCACCCCCTCTCATTAAGGGCAGACAGGAAGACTTAAAGGAATTAGGAAGTCTTACCCTAAAACAGAAAATGCAAGCCTTAGTTCAGTCCTAAATGCCATCCATTGTCAAGTCAGAGAACAATTGCCAATTAATTTAATTACTGACGCCCATTCTTTTAAGCCAGGCGATATGGTATGGGTAAAAGAATGGCATATACAACCTCTAAATCCCCTATGGAGGGGGTCATGTACTGTTCTTTTATATAGCAGAATTAAGCCGGCCTTCCAGGACTGGGAGTGCACTGCAGATTCGGCAACACCCCTTAAGCTGACCCTCCGGAAAGTCACCAAGCCCAACAGAGGACCCAGAACAAATTTCTCCAGCCCTGCTCTAGGAGCCTGAGGATACTTCAGCCCTGCTTCAGTCACACACTGGAGGCTGACTGAACGACACACAGCAGAAGATTAAGGATTCAGCTTAAGAACTTAGCAGACATAACTGATAATTCACTGTTTTGCTTTGTCAACCTTCATATTTGCCAAACTGTTTGTCATTTTAATTGCTGTACAACTAACTTTATTTGCTATAGAATCAACAGAAGTTGTCCCCATTGAACATGTTAGGAAAGGGTTTCACTAGCATTTCCATTCTTTCTTATAATACGAAGTGTTCTTGTGCTTTTATGTGATTTCTGCCTAATTTATCATTTGCCTCAAACACCCAGCATGTACGTGTATAGAAACTATCTAGCCAGACATAAGAGTTTTCCATCATTATTCATTCCAGCCAGAAGTTTGTTCTGGTGGCCAACAAGGCCTGTTTGGTATTGGGCATCTGCTTATGCAGCTAAATCTTATCAATGAACTAAAGGGCTATTTTGGACATATGAAAAGGTTGCATATGCCCAGCTCCCAGCATTATGGAAAGGCACATGTACCATAGGAATAATCCAGCCAGGATTTTTCCTTCTGCCTAATCCAAGGGGTGATGAACTAGGCATTCCCCTTTTTGAAAGCCTCAAAACACAAGATGCTTGATCCCTCGACCAAGTTCCTAATATAGGAGGGACCCAAGTTTGGAAAAATGACAAATGGCCACCCCAGAGAATTATAAATATGTATGGCCCAGCCACATAGGCACAAGATGGGAGTCGGAAATACTGCATGCTTATATATATGCTAAATCGCATTACCAGGTTACAAACTGTCTTGGAAGTTATAACTAACCAAACAGTCACAGCTTCTGAGCTTGTTGCTCAGCAATAGGCCCAAATGCGCGCAGCTATTTATCAAAACTGCTTAGCTTTGAATTGCCGGCTAGTAGAAAAAGAAGTATGTGGTAAATTTAATAGCTTTAACTGTTGTTTGCAAATAGACAAAAATAGTTATAACTAATATAGCCACCAATGTTAAAAAGTTTGCCCATGTCCAGGTACAAAAATGGCAAGGCATAAAAATCAGCAATTGGTTTGAAAACATGCTCTCGGGTCTGGGAGGATTTAAGTATATTATTGGATCTGTAGTCCTATTGACGGAATCCCGTCTTACCCTCTCTTGCATAGCCCCAATAATTATGAACGCCATTTCTAAGTTTGTGGAAACAATTGTTGAATGAAAAACTGTAGCCCATATGTTACTACACCAGATTAAGGATGATGATGCTCTAGACCCATAAGAGGTGGAGCATCAAAGGGGGGAATGTGGCAGAAAGGGGGCTGGTAGCAGTTAAAGATGTTTCCTTCTGAAAGTCAAGCGGCAAGCTCCAAAGACCCGCCAGGCCAGTTTTGTTTGAAAAAGCCAAAGGGCCAAAGACTGACTGACGGCTCTCATGGAAATGCAAGAGTACCTAATTCACAACCTTACCTGACTGCTCTCCTTATCAGTTTATAGTCCCCACTCACCCTGCATTTCGTGGAGACCATCTGTTCTTTGAAAGATCTGATTTTGCTGAACACAATCTTGTAAATTTCAAAGAAAATGTGTAATCGCTCAACAGGACCCCCTCCCTTACCTAAACAAAGGTGTAAGACCCCTCTTCTCCCATTCTGGGGGACTCAGCCTGGGAGCATTAGCCCACCGAATCTGCCAGCATAATAAAGTTGCCACTTCCTCTAATAGTCTCAGTGTCGCAACCTCTCTGTCTTCCCGCTAAGATAGTACCACCTGTAAAGAATCTATGGCACATATGAAAACATTCTCAACTGAAGTTTATTCCTTCAGTTCTAAAAGTACTTTTTAAAAAAACTTTTCCTCCTTGATTCATGTTTGTTTCAATCAACATAAAGCTACACATAATCTTACTATGAAAATAGCAATAAATGGACTTGAGTTCTTAGACCTAGCGCATCCTTAATTTGCTTTAAGACTTTAAAGAAGTGATCTAATTATTCTGGACGACCATTTCCTTATATGTAAAATAAGGTGAGAGCAAATAAATTCTAAAGTCTGTAAATTTAAGATTCCAGGGTTCTAGGCATGCAAGAAATTCAAAACAAGCCTCTGCATTGGCCAAAGCATTTATATTAAAGAAGAAAGTAACAGTCTTTAGGAGTTTTGGGTTGTTTTTTGGTTTGGGGTTTTTTGGTTTTTTTGGCTTCTGGGGGTTTTTTTTGGTTTTAGTGTTTTGGTTTTGGGTTTTGAGTCGGGGTCTCATTCTGTCACCCTGGAGTGCAGTGGTGCAATCACAGCTCATCGCAGCCTCAAACTCCGGAGCTCAAGTGATCTTCCTTCCTCAGCTTCCCAAGTAGCAAGGAATACAGGTTTTGTGCCATCACACCCAGCTAATGTTTTAATTTTTTTGTAGAGGCGAGGTCTCATTATGTTACCCAGGCTGGTCTCAATGCCTAGGCTCATGCAATCCTTCTGCCTCAGTCTCCCAAAGTGCTAGGATTACAAGTGTGAACCACCACACTCCAGAGTTTAGATTTTTAAACCAAAACTTTTGAGTGTAATTTACAATAATACCTACACTTTATGTTTATGAAAGCCTGAGTTCTATGTACAGAAACGTTTCTTATAAGTAACTAAAATGTGGACAGCCAGGCTCGGTGGCTCAGCCTGTAATCCCGTGCCTTTGGGAGGCTGAGGTGAGTGGATTGCCTGAGCCCACAGGTTCGAGACCCGCCTGGGCAGCAAGACCTCATCTCTACAATAAATCAAAAAATCAGCCGGGCGTGGTAGCGCATGCCTGTAATTCCGGCTACTCGGAAGGCTGAGGCGGAAGGATTGCCGGAGCCCGGCAGGTCGAGGTTGCGGTGGCCGCGAGCAGCCATTGCACTCCAGTCTGGGTGACAGAGAGACTCCGACTCAAAAAAAAAAAAATGTGGACAAAACTACACCCAACACAACGCAAGATTCTCAAACCTAAAACCAATAAAGAGGCAAATATAACATTTCCAAATTTTAATTAGTTTCTTATAATGCTGATTAAATCATTTTTCACATAAGCCAACTCAGCTGCTAAATAAAACAATTATAAACATGATTACTCTGCAATGCAACATTCCTCACCAACACTGGAGATGGCTTTTCACCAAAAGAACCATAATTACTGCACGGCAGATTTAAAAAGAAGTAGGGTTCCTGTGAGACTAACCCTAAAATCATCAGATGCCTTTCAGGATTAGGCTACAAACTCCCCAAAATTACAACGAAAATTAATATAAACTAGAATTCAGATTAGCAGAGCATCCACTTGAATTACATCATCAAACAGTATGAGGCTCTGCCAAATTGATAAAATCTGATTAATTACAACCCTACTAATTTTACATTTTTTATATTTATGGCCAAGACGAGGTTAAATATCACATTTGTTTGATAAATACCTTCTAAAAAACAAACAACAGAAATAACTCTATTATTTTCTCCATCAAATTACAAACTATCCTTTTAAACTTTTACATCTGACAAAACTAGTTACATTTATTTAAAATATGCATCATTCTTATCTATTCATCAAGAGTATTTACCTAGTAAAGATGAGCCTAAATACATAATTGCTTTGAATTACTTTATAATTAATATTTTTCACTAATTTATACAGACTTTTATATTAAAGTTACTGAGATTTAACTACATTTATATCTTGTTTCAAGCACACAGTTTTACTTCAATTAACAAAAATATTTTAAATCTGTGACTTGCCTGATCAAACTGGGTAACTTCTTGATCAGAAGGAATCTGTAATCCCCAAAGTCTATACTTTTTGGCAACACTAGAAAATTGAAGCTCCAAAGGAATTTCAACTACATCAGATCGATTTAGCATTTCAGTATTTCCATAGTCAATGTACCTCACCAGACACTGAAAAAAATAGGAGACAAATAAATATTCATACTGAACTTGGATTAAACATGCCCCAAAAATCACCAATTTGCTTCTTTCTGTTAATTACTTGCATATCAAGATAGCATTTTACCTTAAATTGTCAAAATGTACTCAGAAAGAGCTCTAGCAAAATCTTCTAAATAAAACCCATAGTCCATGAAATTACAGTGATCTCTATATTTGGTACTACTTAAATTCCAAAAGTACCATTTCTCATTTTGGTGCTTTTTTATTTTATTTTTTTGAGTTGGAGTCTCACTCTGTCACCCAGACTGGAGTGCAGTGGCCGCTCCCGGCCACCACAGCCTCGACACCTGCTGGGCTCTGGTGATCCTTCCACCTCAGCCTTCCAAGTAGCTGGAACTACAGGCGCGCGCTACTACACCCGGCTAATTTTTTGATTTATTGCAGAGATGAGGTCTCGCCAAGTTGCCCAGGCGGGTCTTGAACCCACAGACTCAGGCAATCCACTCACCTCAGCCTCCCAAAGCGTGGAATTAAAGGCTGAGCCACCGAGCCTAGCTACAGCTGTTTTTTTAAGTAAACATGTGCTTATGAAACTTACGGCCCTCTCCTAGTTCTCCTAATGTTGAAATCAATCAACACTATTAAACTAAAATTGGAAACAATAAAATAGGAAAATAAAGGGAAAGTTTCTTTTGATAAAATTAAACCCACTCCAGCTAGACCTTGGAAACTAAACAAATTCATCCTTACAAATCCAGTTCTATCCCTGTTTAAAAAGTAAAAAAGAGGCCAGGCTTGGTGGCTCAGCCTGTAATCCCAGCACTTTGGGTGGCTGAGGTCAGTGGATTGCCTGAGCCTGTGGGTTTGAGACCAGTCCCGGCAACTTGGCAACTCATCTCTACAATAAAATAAAAAATAGCCGGATGTGGTAGCACATGCCTGTAGGTGCGGCTACTTGGAAGGCTGAGGCAGAAGGATCGCTGGAGCTCAGCAGGTGAGTGCTGGGATGGTGGAGAGTGTGCTACTGCACTCCAGCCTGGGTTACAGAGTGAGACTTCAACTCAAAAAAAAAAAAAAAAAAGTAAAAAAAAAATAGCTTATTACAAGGTCAAACGTCACCTTGCCCTTAATTTAAAAAGTTAAAGCCAATCAAAAAGCAAATGCAAAATATTATCCAGTTGTAAAATTATGGGGAAAGGATCTACTTCATTAAGACAAACCATTACGTATGACAGTAATAAATAATGATTTAAAAAACAAGGTATTCAGAGCATTAATCAAATTGTTTCATCTTAGTACCTCATTACATCAAGGAAAATATTTATATAACATTTTTTAAGTCCAAAAAGCAGATATAGAAGAAAACACTAAAGGAAACCCTAAAGAGATGCTTTCACCCAGGTGCAATGTGCAAATGCCACCAACAGCTATTCAGAATCCTATCTCCCCAAAATCCCTTAAAAATCTTCCACAAATTCACAATGTAAAAAATAATAGCTAACACAAAGAATACAGGCATGAGAAAGTAGCAAGTCAATCTTTATTATTAACAAGATTCACACCAACTAAGTAAAAGACATACCTAACTTCAGCATAAATCAAATGTTCTTTTTCTACTTGTAAATATTAATCGAATGAACCATTAAAAACTACTCATTAGCAAAAACCAAACACAATTACTAAAAACTGAGGTACATAGAACCAACTAGTCACCAAAAATAATTTACAAATTATATAATTTAGTATAGGACAATCTGGGATGATTAAATAACAACTTAAATTCAGAAGAATATTCCTAAATCTTATCTTTTTTTTAGTAATTAATTTCTTTTGTGTTCACTAGGGAAAAACGTGTGTCAATGTATAAGTTCACTAACCCAGATCTTAATTACTACTATGAATAAGCAATGAAGGGCTAAATAAGCATCAACTTTTGGAACCAGAATAGTCTTTAAAGCAAAAAAAAAAAAAAAAAAAAAAAACCACTGAACACTCATTTCCTGCCTTTTCATCACTGATGATTTTCAGTACTTTGCATCTGTACCAACATTTATCTTCAGAAAATAATCCACCATAAATCTACAAAGAGAAAATAAAGCAAAATTATTTGGTATTATAATGAAGTATGCTAAAATAGATCAGAATAAAGTTTAGCATTTATTAAGCACTTACCATATATCAACAAGCACTTCATATATGATAACTTATTTAATTCTCACAACAACCCTATGAGGCAGGTAGTTTTGTTTATGCCACTGTGTACCCAAAGTCAACTAGTAAGCAGCAGAACCAAGATTCAAACTTCTGAATTCAGTGTCCATTATGCTATTCTGCCTCTCCAAAAAAAGAGGGAGAAGGAACATAAAACAGAACACTTTTTTAAAGGCACAAACATCAAAGACTTACAGTCATACTATTTTGGTGTGTGTAGACATAACTGGTACAACTAATATTTTTAGGCATAAACATGCCAAATACATGCCACTGAAGTCTAATTCTTAACCATGGTAGAATCCATATTTCCTACCAAGAAAGATTTTATATATATATATATATATATAAATATAAATTTTTTTTTTTTTTTTTGAGTTGGTGTCTTACTCTGTCACCCAGGCTGGAGTGCAGTGGCACATTCATGGTCACTCCAGCGTCGACCTGCTGGGTCTCCTGCGATCCTTCCTCCTCAGTCTTCCAAGTAGCCAGAACTATAGAGGTGTGCGCTACCACACCCAGATAATTTTTTATTTATTGTAGAGATGAGGTCTCACTAAATTGCCCGGGGGCTGGTCTCGAACCCACAGGTTCAGGAAATCCACTCACCTAGGCCACCCAAAGTGCTGGGATTACAGGTTGAGCCACCAAGCCCAGCCTCACAGATTTATTTTAGAGGAAAAATAATACACATTGTAAAACCTTAAAACCCTCAATTCACCAAAATAACAAAGTATAAATAAATTCACACACACAAATAAATATCTAACAGATGAAATGCTACAGGGCCAGGTACAGTGGCTCACACCTATAATCCCAGCACTTTGGGAGGACGAGGTGAAAGGACTGCCTGATTCCACGGGTTCAAGACCAGCCTGGGCAACTTGGCAAGACCTTGTCTCTACAATAAATCAAAAAATTAGCCAGGCATGGTAGTGTGTGCCTGTAGTTCCAGTTACTTGGACGGCTGAGGTGGAAGAGTCACCTGAGACCAGCAGGTCGTGGCTGCGGTAGCTGTGAGCATGCCACTGCCCTCTAGCCTGGGCAACAGAGTGAGACTCTGACTCAAAAAAAAAACTACGAAGTATAGGTGTGTTCAATTAGCACTTAACTCGGGTTCCCTCCGCTAACATTTAATAACTGAAGTGCAAGAGAGGACAACAAGGTACCCTCTCCCAACCACCTTATTTATTTTTTAGTAAGCAGATGGGGTTAGTAGCAAAAATAGCAGATAATCAATAGCCCTATTCCAATTTCAAACTCTGCAAAAGATCATATTATCCATAAAACTTTGTAATAGCATACCAATATGATTAACTAACAGTTTGATATATGGTAAATGACAGAAATGCAATGGTTTATTGAACCCAGTTGAGGCAGTTTTGAGGACACTTGTTTCCAGGAATAGAGCTTTGACTCAACCAAGCTTGGCTCTGTTCATGTGAAAAATATCCACCACCATAACATACACCAGATAGATGTCTTTGCCTTTAGAATACAGACAGAACTCTATATTCACCCCCATCGTGCCTGGGTCCAATCTTTTCCCCACTACAACTCCACTCTTCATAGCCTATGAACTGCCTACATGAGAGGGAGAGAACCACTCAGAACACTTAGGAAATTTACAAAGTATAATCCATTTATGAATACTCAGAGGTGGCTTATACCCAGATGCCTATTACTGACACTAGTTTAAATTTTTGGTAATGTAACCAAATTATTTTATATTCAATAGGGAAAAGGAAGTGTGTCTTCATCAATTTATAACAATATTAAATATAGTCACAGACTACAGCAATACTAAAAAAAACTTTACAAATTGCATTACCTTATGCATCTGACATGTAATTCCAGCATACTTTCCTCCTTCAATTTATTTTTCTTATACTTTTTTATATGGATTTTAAAACAAAACTAATAGGAGTGTGCTATTAAAAGAAAATCAAAGTATATCAAAAGAGGTTAAGACTTACTTCCTAGCACTCTCCAACATGGGTCTCCAGAAAACAATTTTATATTTGCACTAAGTTCATGAATATATGCTTATGCTTTGTTTCTCATTTATTCATATGGGTTCATTTTATATACACTGTTCTGTCAGAATACAGAGACCCACCTGTGTCAGAGTCAATCTGGATTGCTAAAACGAAATACCATAGACTGAGTGTCTTATAAATAACAAACATTTATTTCTCGCAGTTCTGGAGCCTGGAAAGTCCGAGATCAACACTCTGGCAGATCTGGTGTGTAGTGAGGGTCTGTTCTTCATAAACAGTACCACCTTTTTGTTACTCCACATGTCCTCACACATGGAAGGAGCAAACAAGCTCCCTGGGGCTTCTTTTATTGGTGGTCCTCTTATCAGGGCACTAATCCCACTCATGAGTGGATTAGTGACCTGATAAGAGGGCCACTAATCAACATTTTAGAGGTTAGGATTACATTGTAAATTCTGGGGAAATACAAACACTCAGATCGCCCTCATTTAAATAACCAGGGCCTAGAGCAAGCAAATTAAGGCAAGTTAGGCACACCAGCACAAAATTTAAGGTGGCACCAACTTTTAGACATCAACCTCGCACTTACATATGTGTAAAGGTAAGTGCCTCCTTAAACTTTGCACTCGCCTTTGGACTAGCCCCAAAGATGATTACTTAGTATTCCAAAATAAGGATCTACCACAATTTGTTCATGTTTTCAGTATCCAACAACAGTTAAAGGACAGGTTCTGTGTATCTGAATACTTGATCCTCCATCAAAAAGCTAGTAACTTTAATAAAGTCATCCTGGCTGTGCCTCAATTCCCCAAAAAAATGTATAAAATAATAGTAACACCTGCCTCATAGGGTTGCCATGGGGATTAAATTAGTTAGTACATGCAAAACGCTTAGAACACTACCTTACAAAGAAAATTAAGTTCTATTATAATTACTACTACTCTTGTTATATATTGAGAGACTTTTAGTTAACCTCCAGTTTTGCCTATTACAAATAATGCTGCAATAAATATCTTTGTACAGACATCTTTGTATACTTACAGAAATGTCCAAAAGGTAAATTCTTGAAGAGAAAATGAGCACTTAAGATTACAGGTATCCAGGATTTTGAAAAAGATCGTTATATAGTCACTTGATTTAAAACAAAGATGCCAATACAATTCAGTAAAGAAAAAGTAGTATTTTCAATAAATAGTGCTGGCATATTTGCATATCCACATGGAAATCCATAAATTTCATCTCTATCTCAGATTATAACCAGAGATTTACTAGGTATAACTATAGCCCTAATACAAAAGGTATAACTTCTAGAAACACACACACACTCAAGCACACACAGGAATATACTTATGATCTTGGAATAAGTAAAAAAGAATTAAGTAGGAAACAGGAAAGCACATGCCAAAAAGAAAAAAAATTAATAAATTAGACTTCAAATGTATCAAGCAAGTAGTAAGCCACAGAGGAGGAGAAGATACTAGCAATACATATAAGACAAAGAACTCATCAAGAATACAAACAGAACTCTTACAAATCAATCAAGACAAATAAACTAATTTTAAAATGGGGAAAAGATATAAGCAGGCACTTTACAAAAGAGAATATTTAAATGGCTGATAAGAATATTAAAGTATGCTTAACCTCAGTAGACAACAATACAAGGGGTTGGCGAGGACATGGAGGAACTAGAACACTTACAAACTGCTGGTAAGAATGTAAATTGGTTCAACACTTTTGCAAAACTATTTAGCAGCATCTACTAAAATGAAACGTGTAGCCTATGATTTAGCCATTCTACTGCCAGGTATAAGCACAAAAGAAATGAGTCATTTGTATACATAACCCTGAATTGTACCCCACATCTTTAAAATTTAAAAAAAAAAAAAGTCAATACATCCAACAGAAGACATATAAAGATTTCGTAGCAGTTTCATTCATGTAGCCAAAAACTGCAAACAATACAAATGCCCATCAAAGGAAAACAGTTTATTATATTTATACTATGAAACACTGCATACCTTGTAAAATAAAAAATTACAAAAACATAAATATACACAGCAACATGGATGAATCTCAGAAATTATGAAAAGAAGCCAGACACATACAGTAAACACTGCATGATTAAAGAACAGGCAAATGATCTATGGTAATAGAGTCAGAAAGACGGTTACCTCTGTTGGAGTAACTAATGACTATGAATCAACTGAGAAGGAGCCCCATGGAATTATCTGGGATGATGGAACCATATCTTGGTCCATGGGTACATAGATACATAAATATGCAAAAATTCACCAAGCTATAATACTTGAGATCTTAAACAGTATATACTTTATGGTATGCAAGTTATACCTTAATTTAAAAAAAGAAAAAAGATAACAAAATTATTCTCCATAAAGATATCTCTCACAGATTTTGAATAAAAGAGGATACTCAAATTAAAGGCAAAAATTCTATTTTGTTCACTATTACATACTTAATGCTGAATACAGTGCCTGGTACATAGTAGACAGTCCATAGGTTTTATTTTTGTTTTTTTAGTTAGAATATTACAACTTTTAATCTATTTTTTCCAATTTTTTTTACTGTGGTAGAATATACATAACATAAAATTTATTATCTTAACCATTTTTAAGTGTAGTTAAAAACATGGCATTTAAATACATTCATATAGCTGTGCAACCATCACCACCATCCATCTCTATAACTCTTTTCATCTTATAAAACTGAAACTCTATATCCATTAAACAACTCCCCTTCATTGCCACCCTTCCCCCTGTCCCTGGTAACCACCATTCTACTTTCTGTCTCTGTGATTTTGACTACTCTAAGTAATTTACTTAAGTGGAACCAAACAGTATTTGTCCTTTTATGACTGGCTTATTTTATTCAGTTAATGTCCTAAAGATCCATCCATGTAGTAGCTTATGTCAAATTTCTTTCCTTTTTAAGGCTAATATTCAGTCCATATTTATTTCTGAATGAATAAATTTACTATCACAGTAGTTTACACAAATTCTAAAAATCTGCCTCTTCTTTTCAAATATACAGAAAATTCCAAAAACTATAAAATATAAGACATAGGAAAGCTAACAGGGGGGTGAAATAATTACATTCAAGAATATGGCTCACCTTCGTTAGATCAAGATTCCCCAAAACTGAAGTGCCATGAGGACAAATGTCAGACAGTGAGCAACCAATCTTCATGATATCCTTATTTCTACTGATACTCTAGAAAGAACAGATACAGTACAAGACTCAGTAAAATATTATTTAATGGTGTTTTATACACTTGGGGGTTCTACTAAGTATGATAATTAAAAGATTTTAGAGTGTTAGAAATTAAATCAGATTCTATGTCAGCATTTTTTCATAATTCAAATGAGTTATTTATAAGAAATAAGACTAGGCAATAGAAAAAGTTTACTTCCCAATGAGTTCAAATTACTTGGAATTCAAACAAAATACCAAATATTATTAAGTCACATGGAGAGGACTTCTTAACAGAGTGCTTGATTCCAGGGGCAGGACTAAGAAATGAGAGAAGACCCTGGAACATCTGATGGTGCCAGAAAGTAAAGAAATACTTTTTTAAAAGGGGGGGGTGCATGCTTAAAGACAAGTAGCCAACCTGCGTTCTTTGGCAAATATTGTCCTAATAGCCAAAGCTGAATAACTTAAACAACAAATAATGATAGCATTGGATTATAACACACAATAAATTTTCATGAGTCTATACTAATATAATTACTGAGTCTATATTAATATCAATTATTTAATTACCAAATGACAGAGAAGAGACAGATCTTCCTTAGGGAAGAATTTCAATTAACAAATGTAGAAGGAATGTGGGAAACAGATAATCATCATTAGGCAAGCACTATAGTAATAAATGATAAAATTCATAAATGAAAAGTTACGGAGAAACTGGATTAGACAAGTCTCAATGTGTCTGCTCCTAAAACATGTATTAGTTACAAAAGAGAATATAGCAACTTTACAGTGAATAAACTCAGAAACTGCCACCTTACCCAAGTGAATCAAGGTTAACATCATCAATAATAAGGTATATCACACTATGAAACCCCAATATGATGTACTGAGAGGGATACAATATTACTTCTGTGGTATTCCTGACAATCTGTTTATGAGAAATTCTCAAACAAACCCAAATTAAGGGATACTCTATAAAATAACTGACCAGCACTAATCAAATACAAGGAAAAACAAGAAAAATTTGAGAAGCCATCAAAGGTCAAGAGACTAAACATACACAACTAAACACAATGTGGGATTGGATTGTGGATTGGATCCTGGAACAGAAAAGAGACCAAAAAAAAAAAAACTGGTAAAATTTGAAAACGGGGCTATAGTTTAGTTAATGGCATTGAAACCATGTTAATCCCCTGGCTTTGACAATTGTACTATGGTTATATAACATGTAGGCATAAAGAAAAGCTGGGTGAGGAGTTTACAGAGGTATGTTCTAGCCTTTGCGCTAATTTTTCAACTTTCCTGTAAGTTTAATTTTTCAAAATATGCATATATATTCTAAAGAAATACCAACAAAATATTCAGTAGCATTAGAAAGAACATGATTATATGTGAGGACAGAAAAGTTCTGAAAGAGCAGTTCGAAGGACATCATGATGAATATCAATGTCTCTGTACAGAAAAAACTGGACCCGAATGTAAACTGACCCCCAGAAACATTGGAAGGAGCGTGCATGAATAAATCCCTGGAAACAACATTCTATAGTTCAGAATATATTAAAATACCCACTAAATTATACCCTGTCACTATATGCAAGGTCCTTCCCTTTTTTTTTTTTTTGAGTTGGAGTCTCACTCTGTTGCCCAGACTGGAATGCAGTAGTAGCACACTCCCAGCCACTGTAGCCTCGACCCGCTGGGCTCCGGCGACCTTTCCACCTCAGCCTTCCAAGTAGCTGGAACTACAGGCATGCACCACCATGCCTGGCTAATTTTTTGATTTACTGTAGAGATGCGGTCTTGCCAAGTTGCCCAGGCAGGTCTCGAACCCACGGGCTCAGGCAATCCACTCACCTCAGGCTCCCAAAGCATGGGAGATTACAGGCTGAGCCACAGAGCCTGGCTGCAAGGTCCTTCTTTCAAAGAAAGAAGTAGGTGAGTCAAATACTTCAGATTCCTTCAGTTGCCACTCCTCCAAGTGGGCACATCAATAACTGAAATGTTCTAAGCAGCTTACAGGGCAGAAACCCATAGTGGCAGAAAAACAGAATATATGTGAGCAGATTTCCACCCTGACCTGCCTCCACATATTTCTAAATCTCTGTTTATTCTTATGCCTACATCCTACCTTAACTGCAACCAAATTTTACAACTTGCTTCTTGAAATGATCAATACATTCACTTGTATACCATTAGTAGTTTTAATTTTTTATCTTTTCATGCATTAAAGGCATACTTCCTAACTTTTTGAAATGTGTCAAAATTTCTACAGGGGCCTCAACTTAATATTTTAAATCAAAGGTTGGCAAATTATAGTCAACTGTTTGATAAATCAGGTTTACTGGATCACAGCTACGTACATTTATCCACATATTGTCTATGGCTGATTTTGTACTACGAGGACAGTCGGCAGAGCTGGCAGAGTTGAATAGTTGCAACAGAGACTGAATGGCCTACAAATTATAAAGTATTTACTACATGATCCTTTATAAAAAAAATTTGCTGACTGTTGGCTTATAGTTCCAAATTCAATCAACTTCTTCACAAAATCAACTGAAATCAAAGTCTAGAGTTGTACTAACTAATACAAAAGTCAATACCCACTTGAAACATGGCTAGTCTGATTTGAGATATGCTGTAAGTCTAATACACAAACTGAATTTCAGAGACTTGATACAAAAAATATAAACTAACCTGTTCATATTTTTATGCTAATTATATTTGAAATATTTTTAATATATTGAGTTAAGTAAATATATGTGTTAAAATTAATTTCACTTGTTTATTTATTTTCTTCAGTGTGACTGCTAAAAATATATTTAAATTACTTATGTGGCTCACATATTTTTACTGGACAGCACTGGTCTAGAAAATAGTCTTAAAGTGAATAAAGAATGCGCCTGTATAACGAGCTTAAACATTATAATTTATCATCCAACCTGACACTTAAGAGTGAAACAGGTGCCATTAATACAGAGACAACAGGCACAGAACTGGAACTTGTAAGCACCATTTAGAGAATATGCATAAGTAGAAACAAAGTTGCCAAGAATATGTGCATAAACAGGACCACAAATTCACAAGTTTTCTATCACACCAATCTTCTACAATGTTTGCTATATACAGTCATGCACCACATCACAATGTTTTGCTTAATGATGGACCACATATACTCACAATATTTCCTAGTGATGTTATAGTGATAGTATCGTAGCATATTGCATCACTCACTTGTTTATAGTTACACTGTGTTAACAAACCTACTGTGCTGCCAGTCATATAAAAGTATAGCACATGCAATTATGCACAGTACATAATATTTGTTAATGAAAATAAACAACTATGTTACTGGTATATGCATTTTATTGTTAGTGTACTCCTCTGACATTTTTTTTAAGTTAACCGTACAACAGTCTTAAGCAAGTCCTTTGGAAGGTATTCCAGATGAGGGCATTGTTATCACAGAAAATGACAGCTCCATACATGTTACTGACCCTGAAGACCTCCCAGTGGGACAAGACATGAAGGTGGAAACAATGATATTATTGATAATTCTGACCTAGATAGACTTGGGTTAATGGGTGTTTGTATCTTAGTTTTTAACAAAAAAGTTTTAAAAGTTTTTTTAAAAAGCTCAATTTTTTAAATAGAAAAAAGCTTACAGAATAAGGACAGCTGGGCATGGTGGCTCATGCCTGCAATTCCAGCACTTTGTGAGGCCGAGGCAGGAGAATTGGTCCAGAGTTCGAGACCTAGGCAACACAGAGAAAGCTTGTCTCTACAAAAAAAAAAAAGTAGCCAGGCATGGTGCCATGCACCTGTAGCCCCAGCTACTCAGGAAGTTGAAGCAGGAGGTCAAGGTTGCAGTGAGTCATGATCGTGCTACTGCACTCCAGCCTGGGCAACAGAGTGAGATTCCAACTCAAACATATATATATATATATTTCGGTACAGCAATACGATATATTTTAAGCTATGTTATTGCAGGCTGGGCACAATAGCTCACACCTATAATCCCAGCACTTTGAGAGACTGAGGTGGGATCACTTGAGGCCAGGAGATCAATATCAGCCTGGGCAACATAGCAAGATCTTGTCTCTACAAAAAAAAAAAAGATAGAAAGAAAGAAAAAAATTTCTAAGCTATGTTATTACAGACAAGTCAAAAAGTTACTCTCTCTATACACACACACACATACGTGTGTGTGTGTGTGTATGTGTATATATATGGGGGGGCAAGGCTCAGTGGCTCATGCCTGTGATCCCAGCACTTTGGAGGCTATGACAGGAGGACTGCTTCAGCCAAAAATCAGCCTAGGCAACATGGCAAGACCTTATCTCTACAAAAAAAATCAAAGCATAAGATGGGCATGGTGGCACATGCCTGTAGTCCCAATTACTTGGAAGGCTGAGGGGGAAGGATCACCTGAGCCCAGAAGATCAAGGCTACAGTGAGCCATGATCATGCCACTATGCTCCAGCCTGGGCAACAAAGTGAGACTCCCAACTCAAAAAAAAAAATTTTTTTAAACAATTAAGTTTATAAAGTAAAAAAAGTTACAGTAAGGTTAGTTTATTATTTTAAAAATGTGTAAGTGTACAGTGCTTATAAAGTCTACAGTAGTGTGTAGCCATGTCCTGGGCCTTCACATTCATTCACTCACCAATCACTCACTGACTTACCCAGAGCAATCTGGAGTCCAGCAAGCTCCATTCATGGTCCCTATACAGGTGTGTCATTTTTAATCTTTTACACCACACTCTTACTGTACTGTTTTTATGTTTATGTATGTTTAGATACACAGATACCATTGTGTTACAACTGCCTACAGTATTAAGTATAAGTACATGTTATCCAGGTTTGTAACCTAGGAGCAAGAGACTAACACATAGCCTAGGTGTGTAGTAGTTTATACCACCTAGGTTTAAGTTAAGTGCAATCTGTGATACTCACACAATGACAAAATCGCCTAACAATGCATTTCTCAGACTATATCCCCACTGTTAAGCAAACAGTACTATGTATTTAAGAACTCTGGTTAATCACATTATTCTAGAACTTTCTTCTAATAAATTCTATTTCACACATTACTAATTCACTCCACTCCCACAAAATGGAGTTCCCATGCAAATGTAATTCCCTTCTTTCCCGTAACATGTATACTTCATGTCAAAAAGTAGTAGGTAATTGTAATTTTATGCATTAGAGAGATTAATCATCTTAAATTCCGGAACACAAGCACTTTGGTGCTTTACTTTGTATTTAAAACTGAGTAAACTTATCTGACTTGCAGTCTTCCAATGAAAATTAGAAATGCTTCATTAGTGTTTCTAATTTTATAAGGAGAATATCATATCTCAAATTCAAACTTAAGCTGTTAGAAAAAAAAATGACAGGTTTTAAAACTTATCTTTCAAGAAACAATCTTATAAGAGACCAGTAGATGGGGCTATAACTTCACAAATACAACAGACTCTCGAACTTCAGTGATTTATGCACCCTAGAATGTTGGCATTAAATTTAGTGTAATTCTGAAATCACAATCTTGTCAATTTTCTTAAAAAAAAAAAAAAAAAAAGAGGCTCAGTCTGTAATCCCAGCACTTTGGGAGGCCAAGGTGAGTGGACTGCCTGAGCCCACAAGTTCGGGACCAGCCCAGGCAACTTGGCGGGATCTCGTCTCTACAATTAAAATAGCTGGGCGTGGTAGCACACTTCTGTAGTTCCGGCTACTTGGAAGGTTGTGGCAGAAGGATCACCAGAGCCCAGCAGGTCGCCACTGGGGTGGACGTGAGCGTGCCAATGCACTCCATCCTGGGCGACAGAGTGAGACTCCAACTCAAAAAAAAAACCAAAACTTGGCGTATTATATGCATACTACTCTTACCTCAGGTAAAGTCCCAGCTGTAGCCATGTGTCTTCTAGGAATGCCTTGAGCTAAATTATTCAATAAAAAGTAGGTAGGCATTGAAAATGATAAATATATTTATTCCTAGGCTTTTCTTTTTTGTTGTTGTTGGGGAGGAAATAAGTTGGGAGAGGGGAGAAAAGGAAATTAACCAGACTGCTATTTACCTGGGCCCAAAATGTTACAGCATCTTCTATGTGACTCCCAACCACGTCTTCAACTAAAAGCAAATCACAATGCAAAGAAAATTAGAACTAAATCAATATCACCTAGCTCTAACACCCCAAAATAATTTTTAGTGTCAGTACCTTTATTGTAATGTACATCTTCATCCATTTGGACAATTCCTGAAAAACTAAAACAATTCAGTACCTTGAATTAGGTTATAATAATTTATCTATTTACAATGAATAAAGACTAAGTCTCATAATGTTTAAATTCTTACAAGTATGTTTTGTACTAAATGAAGTTATCAAAATTCAAACTCTATACTTAAAACAACCTTAAATGTATTTTCTTCAATAGTTAACTCTTCCATTTTGAGTATACAGTAATAAATGCAATTTCATCACATACACTCTCTACTCTTAAAATTATCTCTTTATGGAACTAACCCAAACTGTTAAAAACGTGAAAAGAGAGAAAAAAAAGAAAGAGAAAAAAGAAAAAAAATTGTCTCTTTAGCCAAATATTTACACCGAAGTGTGACACATGTACATTTTGGTCACTTACATAAATCAATACTTTGGAACAATGTGCATAGTCTTTTAAAAAAGTAATGTCCTCCTAAAACAAGAGTAGGACTTTCACAACGTAAACAAAGAGAAACCACAATAGAACAGATGCTTCAGACTGATAATCAATTTTACTTAAAGGGCACAGTCGTTATTTTTGAAGATACCCTGGGATTAAAGAGTGCAAAACAAACCGAATTTTGCCTGTTACTTTAAAAATAATTTTCATTATGTCATATTATACTTTACCAACAGCAAAATATTTCTAAAAAAATGTCTGTTTTATAATTTTATCCTCAGTGCACTAGATTATTGCACTTTCTATTCATAAATATTGAAGAAAATTAAAACAGTTTTTAAAGGGCTATAAAAGTTATCTCAGAACACTACTAAAGTGTCAAATGCTGTCTCAACTATGAAAAGGGAAAAGTTAATTCTTCACAGAAAAAAAGCCTCATAAAATTTTAAAACTTGTTTTATTTTTGTTACAGCTTTTTTCAAATTTTCAAAAAGTGCCAACAAAATGTTTTCAAAATAGGGCTTCTTTAATACCAGTCCAAAAGTCGTTTTTAAAATCAACTGACCAAAAAACGTGCAAAACCAAGCTGGACTCTGTTTAGATAGATTACATATTTCTCTGGAAGCTTTAAAGTCTGAAACTTAGTGAAAATGAAAATGTTCACTTTGGCATCCCGCCACACACTTCAAGAAGCTAATATTTTTAGAACAGTTTCAAAATCTTATTTTAAAACGACCACGAAGAACTGATGCTGTAGCCACTGTCTGCAGCCCTGGATCATCAACTGGATGTCCGTATTTCCACTGGAGAGAGGAGAACTTGAAGGAAGTGGGTACAACACGCTGCTCGACACATGTTTTGGGAGGGATTTTGAAGTCTGAATCGCACAGAATTTGCGGGAAGGGGGGACCCAAACTGCCCCCTGGAGCAGCCTGCGCATCCTGGTCCTCACCAAGGTCACTTGGGGTTATCTGCAAACAGGTTTCACCTGCCTGCACCGCCCTCAAAAGTTGGGGTACCTGGCGCCACTCGGCAGGGGGGTGAGGGGGTGGCTCAAGACGGCGGAAGACCAGGAAATGGGCCTCGTCCCGGCCTTCGAGACCCAAACGCAACCAGCGGCAAAAACACAGCCCTTGAAGCGGCCGCCATCGCACCTACCACAAGGCCTCAGGACGACCTCACACCTGCCGCCGCAGACGCCCTAGATCAGCGACCTCAGCCCTCGGCTCGCCAAGGCTTCTGGCCCTCCGCCCACCAACGTCGCGCACGCGCGTACAAGCTTACCCCCCCACATGCTTCGCCCACGCGGGGCCCACACTGCGCCTGCGCACGTTCTGCAGCGCGGGCATCCGAGTTTGGCGGGAAGTGACAGACGAATCACGTGGCTGCTCAGGTCGGTAGAGACCCCGCCACGGAGATTACCGACACTCTCAGAAGAGCAGCGCACTAAGGCTGCCCAGGGAGGGATTTATAGGCCCCGGGGCGGGGGGAGAGTTTCCCTGTACCTGCGAGCTAATGGCCGGTTACATTCGCAAGGCTTCAAGCAATGACATAGATGGTGACGAATCATCCTTCCTAATTTGTTGATACGGATCTGAATAGCAAAAACACCCACATTAGAAGAATCTCAACTTGCTGTTTACACGATGCAAAGGAGAAAATGACCTTGGAAAATGAAAACGTGTTTTTCAGATTTAGTAGCTTTCCAAGGATTTCTCAACCCCTTCTTAGCATCCACAGCTCTCTCTAGCGTTGCAGCTTTTTTCACGTCATTAAAAGGAAAACATTTCATGTCTTTTGGCTAAACTATAACCCGACTGCTTCCGGTTCTATGCAGTTGTTACAGTTGTGGCAAATTTTGAACAACTGACAATTATCTCCAAGTAATTGCTAACAGCTTGATTGAGATATAATTAACACAATAAACTGCAGATATCAAAAATGCACAATGTTTTTATTTTATTTATTTTAGAGTTGTGGGGTACAAGTGAGGGTTTGCATGCAGGTGAAGTTTGGACTTCTAGCTGGTCCTCTCTCCCCTTGGTAGCAGACCAGGTACCCTGTTGTGTTTGTATATGCCTACCTTCCTCCAATCTCCTTCCCTCCCCTATCAGAGGCCAGCATCTGCCAATTCCACTCTTGTGCTAGAGAGACTCGTTTTCAGGGCCCACATATGAATGAGAACATGCAATAATCAGTTGTTTCTGTGATAGTTCATTTAGTATGATGGTCTCCAACTGCATCCAAGTTGTGAAGGCCATGATTTTGTTCTTCTTTATGGCTGCATAGTATTCCATTGTGTATATGTACCACATTTTCTTTATCCAGTCCACTTTCAATGGGCATCTGAATTGGTACCATGTTTTTGCTATTGTGAATAGTGCTGCATTAAACATGCATGTGCTTGTGTCTTCTTGGTAGAGCGATTTATGTTCCTCCAGGTATATTCCCAGGAGAGGAATCACTGGGTCATATGGGAGCTTAATTTCTAGTTCTTTTAGAAATCACTACACTGCTTTCCACAGAGGATGAACTACCTTATGTTCCCACCAACAGTGTAAAAGTGTTCCCTTTTCTCTGCAGTGGTACCAGCACCTGTTGTTTTTTGAGTTTTTAATGATAGCCATCCTTACTGGTATTAGGTGGTATCTCACTGAAATTTTGATTTGCATTTCTCTGATGATTAGTCAGGCTGAGCATCTTTTTCATGTTTGTTGGCTACTTGTATGTCTTCCCTTGAGAAGTGTCTGTTCACGTCCTTTGCCCACTTTAAAAGTGTACAATTTGTTGAGAGTAAACATATATTAACTGTAGAAATCACCTCTATAATCAGGCTTTCCCATCACCCCCAAAAGTTTCTTCATGCCCATTTATGATACCTGGCTACTCCCGCCTACCTTTGTGCTGTTACATTAGTTTGCATTTTGTAGATTTTGATATTAATAGAATTATACAATATGAATACTTGAATATTTCTGTCAAATAACAAATTATTTTGAGAATCCATTTTTTCCTGAGCATCAATAATTCATTGGGTTTTATTGCTGTTACTGTTCCATTGCATGACTACAACATTGTTTTTGGGGGGGAAGGGGTTGTTTTGTTTTTTGAGTTGGAATCTCACTCTTGTCACCCAGGCTGGAATGCAGGGCACACTCACAGTCACCGCAGCCTCTACCTGCTGGCTTTAGGCGATCCTTCTGCCTCAACCTTCCAAGTAGCTGGAACTACAGGTGCACACCACCATACCCGGCAAGTTTTTTGTGATGTATTGTAGAGACAAGGTGTCACCAAGTTGCCCAGGTTGGTCTCGAACCCCCAGGCTCTGGCAATCCTCTCGCCTCAGCCTCCCAAAGTGCAGGGATTACAGGCTGAGCTACTGCACCCAGCTTGTGTTGCTTTTTTGAGTTTCTGAAAAAATTCTCCTAAAATCAAGGGATCCTTCCACTTCGGCCTTCCAAGTAATTAGAACTACAGGCCAAGCCACCATGCTCAGCTAATTTGTGTGTGTGTGTGTGTGTGTGTGTGTGTGTGTGTGTGTGTGTGTGTGTGTTGAGGAGGTTGCACTATGTTGCACAGACTGGTCTTGAACTCCTGGCCTCAATCAATCCTCCTGCCTTACCCAAAATGCTGGGACTACAAGCATGAGCCACCACTCCCTGCTACCTTTTGATAGACATTTGGATTGTTTCCAGTTTGGGATTTTTCAGGTAAAGCTGCTATCATGTGCAAGTCTTTGTATGGACATATGTATTCATATTTCTTGGGTTAATACCTAGGAGTGGAGTAGCTAGGTCATAGAATTGTGTGTGTGTTTAAGAAATTGTTTTACAAAGTAGTTGACTATTTTATAGTCCTACTGGCAGTGTTTAAGAGTTCTAATTGCTCCATAGCCTCCCTATCACTTAAAATTGTCAGTGTTTCTAAGCTTCGATATTTATATATAGTTGTGTCTCTTTGTAGTTTCAATTCGAATTTATTTCTATATTATGTAAAATGTTGAGTGTCTTTTCCTACGTTTATTTTCCATTCATATACCTTTCCAGGTGAAGTGTCTGTTCAGAATCTTTCACATTTTCTAACTGGATTGTTTTCTTATTGTTGGGTTTTGATGGTTCTTTATATACTATGAATACAATTCATACTCATTTGCAAATATTTTCTCCCAGTCTATAGCAGTCGTAAAAAAGAATGTCTCTAAAAAGAATGTTTCAAAGAGCAAGAGTTATTAATTTTGATGAAGTCCAATTTATCAGTTTTATATTATGAATCACACTTTTGTGTTGTATCTATGAAATTTCTGCCTAACCTAGTTCACAGAGGCTTTCTTCTATATTTTGTTTTAAAAGTTTTACATGTTTATGCTTTACATTTAAATCATAATCCTTTTTGAGTTAATCTTTTATAAGATGTGAAACATAAATCAAAGTTCTTTATTTTTGAAGATGGATATTCAATTTTTCTGGCATCATTTATTGAAAGCACTATCATTTCTCTAGTGAATTGTCTTTGCACCATTGTCAAAGATCACTTGGTCATGTATATGAAAGTCTATTTCTGGATTTTCTGTTCTGTTACATTGATCTGTTTTCTTTAGAATAATACTATACTGTCTTGATTACTGTAGTTTTTATAGTAAGTCTTGAAGACAGAGACTGTTGCTTTAATTTTTGTATGTTGGTCATATTTACTGCATTCATGAAAATTTACTTATTATTTTTAGTGATAGTTTTTAAAATAGATTTAACAGAATTATCTACATAGATGATCATGTCATCTGCAAATAAAGACTGTCTTACTTTCTCTTTTCCAATCTGGATGTCTTTTATTTCTTTTTATCTTGTCTTTTTTCTTTAATTTTTTTCAAGATGTGGGGTACAATTCAGGTTAGGTATACAAATGTTCATTATGTTTTTATCTTTTTTTATCTTGTCTTTTGCCATGGCTAGATCCTTCGGTATAATATTGGGGGGATAGTTGTTATTTTTGTTTTATTTTCATTTTGAGTCAGAGTCTCACTCTGTCGCCCAGACTAGAGTGCAGTGGTAAGATCGTGGCTCACTGCAACCTCTAAATTCAGGGCTCAAGCAGTGTTCCCGCCTCAGTGCTTGAGTAACTGGGACTATAGGTATGCACTACCATGCCCAGTGAATTTTTTTACATTTTTTGTAGAGACGAGTTCTCACTATGTTGCCTAGGCTGCTCTCAAACTCCTGGGCTCAACCAATTCTCCAACTTCGGCCTCCCAAAGTGTTGGGATTGCAGGCATGAGCCACTATGCCCATCCTCAGTATAATATTAAATAGAAAGGCTAAAGGTAGACAACTCTTGCCATGCTCCTGATCCTAGGAGGAAAGCATTTTCCTTTCACCAAGTATGGCATTAGCTGTGGGACTTTAGTAGGAACCCTTTAACAAATTGAAGAACTTACTTTCTATCCCTAGTTTACTGAGAGTTTTTATCATGAGTGTGTTTTAAATGTTGCAAATACTTATTTTACATTCTATTGAGATGATCATGTGGTTCTTTTTTAGTTTGTGAATATGATGAATCACACTGATTAATTTTAAAATGTTAAACCCACCCTACATTTCTTGGATAAAACCCATTTGACCATGACATATTGTCCTTTTTATATATTCTTATATTCAAGTTGCAAAAACTTTTAAGAATTTTTGCATCTATATTCAAGAGGGACATTCGTCTGAAATTTTCCCTTCTTGTAATGTCTTTGTCTAGTTTTGCTGTCAGTGTAATGCTGGTCACACAGAATAAGTTATAAAGCATTCCCAACTTCAATTTTCTGGAATTTCTTTGTTCCTTTAATGTTTGGTAAAATTCACAGCACAGCCATCTGGGCCTAGAATTTCCTTTGTGGTGGGGAGCTTAATTACAAATTCCATTTCTTTAATAGAAATGAGTTATCTGTTTATTGTTGAGTGAGTTTGACAGTTTGTTTTTTAAACATTGCATTTTCCTGATGCTTCAACATCCATCCCCCCAAACAGGCTGTAAGCTCCTTGTCCAACTGACCGGGTATACCAGTGTAATAAAGCTAGTTCTTGCCATAAGTTCCCCTTCTTGCTCTCCCTTGACTGTGACCTAGTAACTTTCAAAAGTACCTCTGAAATCTCCTAACACCTTCTGCTTGTGTTTTCTGCTCTGATTCCCAGTGAAGGTGCTTTCCCACAGGTTCCCACTCCCTCAGCTCCCCACCTGCTTAGGCATTTGCACACTCCCTTGGAGTTCGCTCCTCCCGTATGGCTCCCTGCACAGCACGCCATGCCTCCTTTTTCTGGAACTTGTGAGTTATCCTTTAATTTCAAATGCCTCCCTGTAATTTCCATGACCGTATTGGAATGATCCTTAAAGATTCCAGAAGGAGTATGTACTTCCATGTTTACAAATGCAGTGTTTTTCAAGGTATTTGTCCATTTCATCTACGTTATCAAAATAATTGACATACAGTTATTTATAACATTCCCTAGTATCCTTTTTACATCTGTAGGATCTGTATTGATGTCACCACTCCAATTCCTCATATAGGCAATTTGTATCTCTTATCTCTCTCACTAATTAGTCAGCCTAGAGTATTAGTCAGCCTAGAGTTTTATCAATTTTATTGGTCTTGTCAAAACCCAGCTTTTGGTTTTACTGATTTTCTCTATTGCCTTTCTGTTTTCTATTTCAATTTATGTTCTGGTCTTTATTAGTTTCCTTTTTTTCTCATTTATTTTAGTTTTCATTTACTCTTCTCTTTCTAGTTCCTTAAGCTAAAGGCTGAGAGGTCACTGATTTGAGATCTTTCTTCTTTACTGATATAGGCATTTGGTGCTATAACTTTCTCTCTAAGTACTCCCTTAGCTGCACCCACAAATATTACCATGTTGTGTTTTCAATTGTCATTCAATTAAAAAGTACTTTTATTTCCTCTTTCAAGTAGTCAGGGATATGCTTTATGATATGAACCATCTGAGAGGTATTGGGAATTTATGTCTACATGACCCATTGGTCAAGGAAGGTCCCTAGGTCATTAATTTTGTCCTGCAGCATCTAAGGTGCCCTGGGCAAGATGCAGGAACTATCAGTGTAGACCCAAGGGTTCTATCAGCTTCGAAGTGTACCTATCGCCAGGCTCGGTGGCTCAGCCTGTAATCCCGCGCCTTTGGGAGGCTGAGGTGAGTGGATTGCCTGAGCCCACGGGTTCGAGACCCACCTGGGCAGCGAGACACATCTCTACAATAAATCAAAAAATCAGCCGGGCGTGGTAGCGCATGCTACCAAGTAATTCCGGATACTTGGAAAGCTGAGGGGGAAGGATCGCCGGAGTCCAGCAGGTCGAGGCTGCGGTGGCCGGGAGCGGCCACTGCACTCCAGTCTGGGCGACAGAGTGAGACTCCAACTCAAAAAAAAAAAACAGAAAACAAAGTGTACCTATCCCAGGTATTTATACTTAGAGACTACAGACATAAACAGAGTGGGACCAGGCCCATTTTACCCACTATGAGATGGACTTTGGCCAGGACTCCATTTATCACTGGGCTTCCATAAAACCTGACTTGCTAACCATTGAACCCAATGGTCTTTTTGTCCTTTGGGATTCATGTGAGCTTAGACACTGTATCCAACAGTCCTTTGTTGAAAAAGTTGAGTATTCCTCTTTATCCACTGCATAGTTAGTGGTAAATAATGGTACATGACTGCTCCTTTAAGGAAAGGTTAAGGGATATTTATCAAACATATCAAGGATCCTTTCTCAAGGGCATCTAAGCTCCCCTTTCCATCATGGGCCTCCACTACCTTAGATCTGAAAACTGAGTAAGAAACTGTGGTTTTTTTCCATTCCCACAATTATATCAGCCTTCTCCTTGACAGTTCTCAAATTTTTTTGAGGGGTGGGGGCAAGCAGTTATACAAGTCAAATAACATCCTGATCAGCCTTCTATCTTGCCCCTCGTAACATCATGAACTTTACTTATTCACAAATCCATGCCAAAGCGTCCAATAAGTTCATTATGTCCATTGAGCTTCTGACAATTAAGTTCCACAACTTGACCCTCAACATTTCTGCATCCCACCATCTATCTACACTGATACTGCAGAGCCCTGTATCATGACAGCACCATCATCAATCATAGCACCTGTAAAGGTCAACCACTGCCAAGCTTCTCAAAGTTTCCAGTATACTCTTCACTGTTACATTTCTTGTTGCCTTAGTTATGAGTATCATCTGGAACTTCCCTGGGAAAAGTCAGGTGGTAGCTTCCCCAGTTTCATGCAACAAATCCATTCTTAATTCCCACTTCCCTGAGCTTTCTGAACCATTCCTCAATACTATGCCAAAAAAACCTCTACCATACCCACCATATCTTCCATATGCCATCCTTGCAGTGTGTCAGGACCAACTCCAGACATCTTTGCCAGGAAACTAATGTGTCCTGAATGAGTGCACCCATGTCACTCTCCCCCATTAAGGCTTCTATTCCACCCCCAACCCTTGATACAATACCTTCAAGATCTACTCCCAGACATGTTTCTGGAGCTCCTGCCAATAAATTTTACCCAGAGTCTAGTTTATTCAGAGTGAAACTTATCCTCCTAGAGAAAGGACTGCACTTCCCAATTTTGGGTATGCTGAGATTTGATCCTAGTTATTACTTTGGACTCAGTGAGAGGTAGCAAGGATGGGTCTTGAGGACAAGTGTCACACTGTGATACAGCTGCCTCAGATAAAGCCTTTGCAGGAGCTCAAGACAAGGCCAGTCTATTCTCTAGAAACTTGGAGGGCACTTCTTGTGCCAGCTCACAAGTTCAAGGAACCCTGAGGGTTCAACGGTGCTCCAGTCCACCATCACAAATGTCCCCATCCCAGGAGTTAGGGTTCTATTCTTTTCCTGTCAGCATGCTTTGTTGGAGACTACTGAGGCTGTGCATTCAGTCTCCTCTGTGACCTTTCCACCTTTACTATTAGATTTGGACTTGATTTTCTGCACAGTCTGCCCTGCATCTGTGGGAAATGAGAGTTGCCTTAAAGAATGCTACAGGAGGACTCTGGCTTACACTGCATGCCTTAAGTGGCTAACATAAGCCTATGCCATTTTCTAAGATTTCTAAAGCACATAATAGCTAACCATCACCTAAATCTTTATAATTCCCAGGCATCTCATTCCACTCTAATGGCACACCCACTACATAACCTAACACTCCCTCTTCCACCTGCACCTCATCCAAATCCACTGCAGTAACTGATCCAGTCACAGAATCCTATCCTGATTGCTCACTTTCAAAGGTAAAGCTGTTCCTGGTACCAACCACCTCAGCCTGAGTTTACTCCCTGCCCAAAAACAAAGCCTAAGACAAATGTTCTCATACAGGTCATCTATTTGGAAAGTGATCCGAGGGAGCCAGAGCAAGGGATGGGGGAGTGGAGACGGGCCAAAGAGAAAGCTACATAAGGACATACAACTGAATTGGCCACTGCTATGGGTGACTAGTGCTCAATGCCATGGGATTTTCTGAGGAAGTTCTGAAACACAATTCAGCAGACGGAAGGGAGAGTATTTATCTACTGGGTCCCACCTCCCATTATTCAAGTGGGGCCCTAAGGTACGTCTTTGGGCTGCACATATAGGATACAATGGGGGTCCAGTGGGCATCCCAAGCCACATGTTAGAGGATCCCCTGAGGAAGGAAGCAGGAGAGCCATGACATGGGCCCAAGCCAAGGTACTATCAAATGGCTTTCATGTAAAACTGTCAGAAGCTAGCTTGGGAGTGTTTCACAGAAGTACTGGCATAAGAAATGGAGCCTCCCGCGCCTTTGGGAGGCAGAGGTGAGTGGACTGCCTACAATAAATCAAAAAATTAGCCGGGCGTAGTAGTGCGCACCTGTAGTTCCAGCTACTTGGAAGGCTGAGGCGGAAGGATCACCGGAGCCCAGCAGGTCGAAGCTGCAGTGGCCGGGAGCGGCCACTGCACTCCAGTCTGGGTGACAGAGTGAGACTCCAACTCCAAAAAAAAAAAAAAAAGAAAGAAATGGAGCCAAGAGGATTTGAAGTGGCATAAAAGAGGTGTCCAAAACAGTTACAGACCATGGGTAGTTAACAGTACAACTTAAAACTTAGAAATCAGTAGATAGCACTAGAAAATGGTTGTATCATTTTAAAAGTTTTTTATTTAAAAACATAAATAAATATTACAAAGTTTGAAAAAATAAAAAATAATTGATTTTAACTTACTATTTTGGATGAAAAGGTGACTCATGTTTGTTCAAAACTTTGAATAGCTTGCAATTTTAAAAAATATCCTAGCTGGGCTCAGTGGCTCAGCCTATAATCCTAGCACTTTGGGAGCCCAAGGTGAGGGGATTGCCTTAGCCCACAGGTTCAAGAAGTGCCCAGGCAACTTGGTGAGACCTCATCTCTACAATAAGTCAAAAATTAGCCAGGCGTGATAGCTGTAGTCTATAGCCGGCTACTTGGAAGGCTGAGGTGGAAGGATCGCTGTAGCCTAGCAGGTTGACGCTGAGGTGGCAGTGAGCATGACACTGCCCTCCAGCCTGGGCAATGGAGTGACACTCCAACTCAAAAAAAAAAAATCATGAAAAAGTTAAATTATGACATACTAAAAATATTTACTGCACTTTCAGGTTTTTGAGTCATATAAAAATAACCTTATTTGTTAGGAGAGAAAAAAAGTATATACAAAGTAGTAAATCATAAATTTTGAAGGCATTTTACTTATTCAAATAAATTAAGGAAACAATCAAAAGAAATTCATACAGTAAAAAGTAAATAGTGTGTGAAATAATAAACTGTATTATTACATTTAAATAAACATGAAAAAGACACATTTGGCTGACGGCTTTAATTCTCCAACAGTCTTCATGAAGGTTTTGTCGTTGATGGCAAAGGAGCTTTTCCTTTCTTCTTAGCAGCCCTTTCCAATTTTATCTGTAAATTTAAAATATTTATTGATATAATAATTTGTAAATCATTCTAAAGAAAAAAAGGTTGGACAAACCTCATTTGGATTCATGTCTTATTTATCCACAGCCATTCCACAGTTATTAAGCTGCTAAATATTAAAGTCAAAATACGACAAAGGAACATAATTGCATATTTTAAATGGTTTGGTTTTTAACTTTACAGAAGCATTTTAATAACACATAAATGAATACTGCTTTAGAGAAAATAATAAATTAAAATCAAAAGTTGAAAAAGTTTAAATGCCTAACCTGACACCCAGTCTACACACATTCTCTACAGAGTTCCAGAATACATTTTATCCAGCTGGGTCATCTCTGGAACATGGACCGCTTTAAAGATGTTTTCCCGCAACTCCATTTTCTACTTCCCACAGTTACTTTCCTGAAGGTCTTTCCCCCTGCCATTAAGGCTGAAGCAAAAAAGAAGCACAAATACCCTGAGAAGTGGCCTTCTGACTTTTTAGACAGGTACAGACCTTTTCCGTGGGATTAAAGACCCTGGAGAACACAAAGTCCACCTGCCTCTCACCACGTCTCACACTCACACACCCCAATTTCCAGAGGTGGCATCACTGCCTTGCACCCGCAAGAGAAGGGGAGAGGAAATAGGGGTATGGTAGATGGAGGCCAGGACTCCAACCTTCTGAAGTGACAGAAATTACAGCAAGAAATCAGAAGAGACCTGGTAAAGCCAATCTACTGAATCCTGTAAAACTGCAGGAAGGTAATAAAAATTCCCATAATAAAATCAAATTAACCTCATCTCTGTCTCTTCCCCATCCTTTCTTCCTTCTCTCTCCTCTTTGAGTTTTTTGGGAACCTCATTCAGAAACCATATACTCATATCATTCTTGCACACACTCAGAAAAATACAAGTACTAATAATGCATCTGGTACATGTCAGTTCACAAGAAGTCACTTAGGTTTAAGCTTTTTTGTAGTTTCGGGTTTTGTTTTGTTCTGAGACAAGGTTTCACTCTGTCATCCAGGCTGGAGTGCAGTGGCACAATCCTGGCTCTCTACAGCCTCGACTGGCCTCAAATGACCCTCTTGTCTCAGCCTTCCGAATAGCTGGGACTCTACAGGTTTACGCCACCAAGCCTGGCTAATTTTTGTTTTGTTTTTTTTTGTACAGACATGGTCTCCCTATATTGCCTAGGCTGGCTTCAAATTCTTGGACTCAAGCAATCCTACTGCATCAACCTCCCAAGTAGATGGGACTACAGGTGCACACCATCACACTTAACTAATTTTTTGATTTTTTTTATAGAGACAAGGTCTCACTATGTTGCCTAGGCTGGTCTCAGATTCCTGAACTCAAGCAATACTCTCGCCTAGGTCTCCCAAACTGCTGGGATTACAGGCATGAGTCACTGTACCCAGTCTTACTTTTCCATAAATATTTACTGAAAATTTACTGAGTACAAGGTACTGTACTAAGTACTAGGGAAAATACAAGGATGAATAAAATACTATGTTTATCTCCATGGCTTTTACACTCTGGTGGAAAACTGATAAAAATGACCATTACTTAAAACTGTGAACACATCAAGACTACAGTTGTTAAGCCCTGGAAATTGTTAAAATATGTTTATGTTTACTGTTTTGTTTCTTAAAGGATGCAGGGTAATGTCAGTTTGAGCCTGGATATTCCTAAAAGCTTCTAAGAAAAAATATATATTAAGAGTTCAGAATACGTATAATTTACAAATCTGCTATTGATGTTTATCACTGACCAATCTGTGTATTTAACCAATTTTTTTTTTTTTTTTTTGAGTTGGAGTCTCACTCGGTTACCCAGACTGGAGTGCAGTGGCCGCTCACAGCCACCACAGTCTCACCTGCTGGGCTCTGGCGATCCTTCTGCCTCAGCCTTCCGAGTAGGCATGCGCTACCATGCCCGGCTGATTTTTTGATTTATTGTAGAGATGAGGTCTCGCTGCCCAGGCGGGTCTCGAACCCGCGGGCTCAGGCAATCCACTCACCTCAGCCTCCCAAAGGCGCGGGATTACAGGCTAAGCCACCGAGCCCGGCTTAACCAATGTTTATGACCTTCATAAATCATCCAGTGTATTAAATATACTATGAATTAGTCCTATTTGTCTGAATTATTCTAAATAAGTCTCAAGGCCTAACGTCAGCTACAAGCAAGGACTTTATAAATTATTTCCCACACCTTCAGCATGTTCCACATTTGATATATAATCATTTTACAGTGTTTTGTTACAAGTAAATATTTAATGCAAGTAGATTTCCTCAAAAACTTACCCTTTCCTGGTATTGTCTTTCAAAGAAAGCCATGTCATCCTCTTCAGGTCTCCTTAAGGAAGAAACTTGACTACTTGTAGCTACTAACAAGGAAAAAAAAGTCTAAGTAATATATTTATATCATCACATATTCCCATGAAATAAAAAACAGAAAGAAGAGTTTCTTCCTACTAGGTGACAATGCTTTATTTTTCAAACCAGAAATGGCCTAAATGGATCATTAATCCTACCACCTTGTTCTTTTATAAAAAGAATGGCATCGGTGAAAAGGGAACACTTCTACACTGTTGCCAGGAGTGTAAACTAGTATAGCCTCTGCAGAAAACAGTGTGGCGATTACTAAAAGATTTAAAAATCGACCTCCCATAAAACCCGGCAATCCCCCTACGGAAATACACCCAGGGGAACTCAAATCACCTATGAAAAAGATAACCACACATGTATGTTTATTGCAGCAATATTCACAACAGCAACAACATGGAACCAATCATGCTGCCCATCGAAACAGGACTTGATTTTTTAAATGTGGTACATATACATGATGGAGTATTATGCAGCCATAAAGAAGGACAAAACTATGAACTTTTCAGCAACTTGGATGGACTTAGAGTCTATAACACTGAGTGATCAATACATACAGAAACAAAAAACCTAGTATCACATGTTCTCACTCATAAGCAGAACTTGAACAACTATCGTACAACTGTAAGAAAGGGATCGGCAGTAGTGGGAAACTGTCAGGGGAGGGGGAAGGCACACCTCATCAACAAGGGTACCTGCATAATGAACATTTGTATACCTAACACTGAATTGTACCCCACATATTTAAAATAAAAAATTTAAAAATAAAAAGAATGGCATTACAGTACAAAAGTCATTTTCACTGGCACACATTTGTGAAATATTCAACAGTTCATACTAAATGACTTCACACAGCTATTCTACATAAGAGTACATTTAGTTTTGTGGCTCATGCCTATAATCCCAACACTTCGGGAGATTGAGGCAAAAGGACTGCCTGAGTCCAGGAGTTCAAGACCAGCCTGGGTAGCATGGCAAGACTTTATCTCTATAATAAACAAACAGATAAATAGCCGGGCATGGCACATGCCTGTAGTCCCAGCTACTTGGGAGGAAGAATCTCCTGAGCCCAGGAAGTCCAGACTACAGTAGCTGTGATCGTGCCACTGCACTCTAATCTAGGCAACAGAGTGAGACTCTGACTAAAAATAAATAAGAATACACTCAATTTGCCCAACCACTTTTTACATTTTATAACTAGAACTCCATGTTATCCTTTATGAGATATGCACACACTTAATGACTGAGGCTTTGTATAGGCAACCATAGTGATATTACCAGCTTCAAAATTTTTCAAAACTACAATATTTTAGCCATTTTTCATAGTATTTACTTTGTAAAGCAGATCAAGCACTAATGTATGTGCTGGAAGGAATTTAAAATTGCTTCAGTAGGAAAAATCTGGTTTTCTTGGTGAGCATCCCAAGAGTATAATTTCTTGGGAAAGTTCCCCTTCACTGCAAGTGAATGTCTTCATTGGGTTCTTTCATTTCCAAAACAGAGCATCAACCTGAATACCTGTTCATCTAGATCCTAAAGCATATGAATGCATTTACCTTCAATCAGTAACATAAAAACAAGTAACTATACACAATCACCACAGAGTACAACCATGCCCTGCTATCTTTAATAAACGCCTTACGAGAAAAATAAAATAAAGAAGGCTGCTTAGAATGTGTGCTATCTAGTCATTCCTCTGGAAACTGTGGGTCTATCCCTGGGTCATGTTGGACCATTTGACCTAAACCTCTTACAGACTTACCTTCATTGAGTGTGCCACTGCACACTCACGGCCACCCCAGCGTCAACCTGCTGGGCTCCGGGAATCCTTCCACTTCAGCCTTCCAAGTAGATGGAACTGCAGGCACGTGCTACCACGGCCAGCTAATTTTTTTTTTTTTTTTTTTGGCATTTGAAAGGAAGTTTATTCAGTTCAATTCAACAAACATTTCTTTTTTTTTTTTTAATAATTAATCAGTATTTTTATTATAGTTTTGTGGGGTACAGTTAAGGGTTAGGTGTACAATTACGTTTCATTCAGACACCCTGTTGATAAGAGGTGTTTTCG